CAATAACCATAACAGACACATTCGTCTTAATTGAACTTACAAGCCACTGTAGCATTCCCCAGGGCGCGTAAGCTACTAACAACCACCACACGACTTCCACAAGACACATACTATTCCGAGACCGAGCCAAGCAGAGAATAACCACAGGAAGTTACTCATGTAACAAGACGCCTGCATATTTCCATCCAAGCACCAAGCCAGATTCAATCAGTCAGTCATCCATCACCCACCATCCATCATCAATCCCGGAAATTGCCAGATGAACAAACGACCTACGCCCAGTAAACAGATAGTCAATTAGTACTACTTGGTACCTGTCATCCTATGGACCATTGAAGGTTAACGTCAACTTGTGGTTGGTCGTATACTGACTGATATTATATAACGAAGAGAGATATATATATATCGACCTAGTATATTTATTACCCGACTGAACTGGTAGGGACAGCGGTTATCAATTTACCAACGCAGTGACGTAGTACTGATAGCAGTGGTAAATATAATGCGCTCTGATTTTCAATTTCTATGTAATTTGTGAGAGAGGACGTACAATAACATAAATTGTGAGGAGGTATATGGAGTGACCGAGGTGTAATTTGGCATCATGGGATTTGAGACAAAGAGGATACATGCGATTACAGTGTCATCGTGAAAGAGTAAAATGACATCTGCTGGTAGGGTATCAATGAGAGTTACTTTCTGGTCTGGAATGGATGTGACAGAACCTATGCTACAGCGGAATGTGTCAACTACATTAAGCTTACTGCAAATCATGTATACAAACAGCATAAGCTACATCCATTATCCTAAGTACAACAAGGCCATGCCAATACATCATTTTCAAGAGGCCATTCCATCATTGCATAATCCATCAGATACAAAAAGCTCGAGGTCAGGTCATGTCATAAGGATCGTCGAGAAAAGTTTCTCACCCAGTTGCCCGGCAACCTTATTCGGGAAGGTATCCCGTGGATCATACCCGGCGGAACAAACCAGCGGGTACAACACGGGAGCTAAACCGAATGGGGAAGGTGGATGTTGTGGGCTTACAGGCGGGAAGCGTGGACCACCTTGTAGTCGACGACCAGCTCGCGACCACCATCGTTGATGACCAGGGCGCGGACGCTGCCACGGCCATCCTCGAAGGCCTCGCGGATGCGGCGGAACAGGTGACCCTGGGGCACCACGGGCAGACCCTGCTTGACATCACCGGTCTCGGTCATGGCGACCAGGCGGCCGTCATCACGGAGGTCCAGGATGCGGTAGGTCTTGTAGACAGGGCCGAGCATGGTCTGGACCACGACGGAAGGAGAGGGGTTGGAGACAAAGCTGGACTCCTCCTGGAGTTCACGGGTGAACAGGTCGACACCCAGGTAGCGGTGCTGGCCGGTCTGGGGGGAGACCGAGATGCGGATCACCTGGCAGGGACGGCCCTGAAGGATCAGGATGTCGCCGATGCGGATGAAGTGGCAGGGAATCGGCACGGTCTCGGCGGTCGAGGAGCTGCCACCGGCACGGGGCTCAACGATACGGACATCCTCGCGGACGCCTTCACGGAAACGAACTGGACCGCCTTCGTCAGCGACGACTACGTCCTGGCGGTCGTGGTGACCGTGAGGGTGCATGATGCGGTCGGCAGCGCGCTCCACACCACGACGGAAGGAGTGATAGTTACCGTCGTCGTCGTAGTAACCCATCTTGCGAGAAGGAGGGGAATCAATGACAGTCTTGGTCTTGAGAACCTTCACAGAGTTCGAGCTGCTAGGAGACTCGGGAACCGGCTCAACGTTCTGTTGACGGCGGCTGTAGGGGTCGCGGGGGTAGGAGTCGACAGGCTTAGACTGATAAGCACGGTCGTACGAGACGTCAAACTCAGACTGCTTGAACTGGCGGTCGTACGAAACGTCCCTAGACTGCTGGCGAGGACCAGAGAAGGATTCTACCGAAGCTTGAGAGCGGCGGTCGTACGAAGAGGCAGGAACGTCGTAGGTAGGATTATTCACCCGACGACGATACTCGCGCTCAGTGATGTCAAGCTGGTTCTGGAGAGCCTGATCGTAGGTGGGTTGACGGTCTTGGAAACGGACCGACGGTTCACGATAACTATGGGTGCGTCAGAGAAGAGGAACTAATGCAATAGTATTGTATGAAGGGCCGGTGGAGGTCCAATGGGGTAATAGGTAGGTAGACCAAACAGCAAGCACGCAAGCAAGCAGGCAAGGGGATGTGATGTATAGTAGGGTTGGGGTATGATTGAGGGGAACGTGTGATGATTGGGTGGAACAGGACTTAATACTTTTTATGGGAGGGTGGTATGTGGGAAGGGGAAGCTTAAGCTGGGACCACAAGTGGGTGGGAATGCAATGGATGGGGTGGGAAGAAATAGGAAAAAGGGAAAGGAAAAGAGGAAAACAGGAAAGCAAGAGGAAGTAGAAGAGGAAATGAGAAGAGGGTTGGGGAAGAGAGGCTTGTTTGTTTTGGTGCCACGTAAGAAGGAAGTGGAGGACGCGACTAGTAGTGAAGCCACGGCCAGACACCGCTTCTTGTCGCTCTCCACTTTGGCTGGAGTGGATGTGGTGCCCCGTGCCAATCCTATGCCCCAGCCAGGCAGCCACCGGGAAAAAACAAAACAAAAACAGTAATGAAAAAAGAAAAAAAAAAAAAAAAAAGAAAACAAATCAATGGTAATAACCATGTAAAAATAAAGAAGAAAACGTGGGAAAATCCCAAAGAATAGTGGCTTACCGTTCACGCGCTAGATCAACTTGGGGGTACCGAGGAGCAGCAGAGGAAGCAGCAGCACCAACGGGGGGGATAGTCTCAACACGCTCGTCGAATCGAACAGTATTGACGGTAGTAGTCACGTCCTCCTCACGGAAAGCAGAAGGAGCACCGGGTCTAGGACGGTAACGATCCTGTTCGACAAAAGCTGAAGCAGAAGAAGCGTGAAGGTCGACTTCTTCCTTTCCGTAGACACGGGGGTCCGGGAGAGGAGCAGAGGTTCGAGTATCTTCCCGTTCGACGTGCGAAGTGCGATCGAGATTGACTTCTTCCTCTACTCTGGCAGGCGCCGCGAGAGTAGCTTCAGGAACAGCGTCACTCCGGTACGACGACGGGAAGACACTGAAGGGGATGGGGACGCGGGCGTCGAAGTCCAGATTGGCTGTCCTTCGGGCGTCTCTTCTCGAATGCCTTTCGAACTGTTGGGCAACAACTCGAAAGACGAGACAAGAAAAGACTTGTTACGGGGAAGAAGAAGTCTTTCTCGGGGGAGTACGTGGGGTTGGAATTGAGACGATACTCTGTGATCGATCTCAAATCAAGCGGAGAATTCCTGGGGTAGAGGAATGTAAGATAAGCTTAAGCTTAAGAAAGAAAGGGGGGGGGAGGGGAAGAATGGAATGGAAGAAGTAGAAGGTGGAGAGAGAGAGGGGGATGAGGATAGAAAGAGAAGAGGAGAGAGAGAGAAGAGAACAGCTTGATGACGAGGAGGAAAAGACGGTGTTGAAGTAGCTGGAGATACGCGTTTGTTTACCGCGCCTTGCCGGATTGGGGCCATGTTTACAGTCCACTGAGTGCTTCAGCTCCAAACTTTACTCACAACTCACTCCTCCGTATCTACAGTAGAACAGTGACTATCTGGTATCTACTGGAATAATCATCCTGCCCTGCCCCCTCTCCCCCCCTTCCAGCCTTCTGCGGGACGTACAATCTAATGATGGGGGGAGGTTTATCCCGAGGTTCCTAATCTCCTCTCCATCCACGGTCGGCGCTTGATCCCATCCACGGTTCCCGCCCGCGTGTTCCAATTGCTGGCTATTTGTAGGGGTCTCTTTCAGACTCGCATTGACGCCATCGTTGAGACCGATCACAGTAGTTTGATCGATAGCTCCATTTTCCACTGACTCCAACGCATCGCCCGTAAAGCAAGTGCTACTACGTACAGTTAGTTTGTCTCCACTCGGCACCACATCCTTCACATGCAGCTGGGTTCATTTCGCATTTTACACCATATAAATCTCATCACCCACGAGGCTGGCCAGCCGCCCCCAGCCGAGTCCCCATGGCAACAACCTCGATCGGACAATCTGGATCCCGCTGAGCTCCAACCGATCGTCGCCCAATGCTTTTCCTTGCCGATATTGCTGCGCTTCGTTCATTATTCAGAAACCCAAACCCCATCTCTTTGGTGCCGGTTCCCTGAGAAACCATGAGATGATTAGAGAGTCAATTCATCTCTCCTCTCTTCTCTTTTTTTGCCACCTCCTCTTCTCCCTCTCGATTGATCCCGATGCGTGGAGCTGACTCGCCTGGAGCTTCCCCCATCGACCATCCAGCTTGCTCTTCGCCCAGCACGGCTTGCTGCAGCTGTGCGCCGTGCTCATCGTGTTGTCCCGCCATTGGCGAATCGAGCTTCGTTGCTCCCCAGCCGGTCTCACTTCTCGTCTCCACTCCGGCCAAGCTCTGACTGTCTCAATTCCCAGCCATTCGCCCGTGCTTGACCAGCCTCTCGCTCGGCTTGATCGTATGTGCAGTCCATGGGCTCGGGCGGGCGCCAGCCTGCCGATTTTCCTTGACCCTGCCTAATCCCAGCTCAGTTCATTGCACTGAGCTTCCTCGGCTGGTTGCAACATATGGGCCTAGGCGCTCCCAGCGGGAAACTAATACCCGGTCGGTTCGAGGCCATTGCTGCCTAGCCTGTTTGCTCTGTGACTGCTCATCTCCGGTCGCTTCCTGGATGAACCGGGAGCTCCGTAGTGTTGTGCCAGCTATCGCCGTAGAGGACGCGTCCGAATAATCTGCCGCATCGATTACTCGTGCTGCACACAAGGTTACAACCGTCGGACAATAATCTGCAGAGGTGACCTCTCACATGCTGACTCCCCACCTGCTCTTCACCCTGCTCTTTCCCCCCTCTCCGGTCACCATTCCCCAACTCGAACATAAGGAAGATGCAAATCTACAAGAAGGATAACAATGCGAGAGAATATGAGCCAAAACGTAGTGTAGATCTCAGTTAAATATTGATTATGTAAGTTGTCGGCCATGGCCTGTCACCTCTTCTCGGCCGCTCGGCCGGAATGGCAACCTAAACGAGGGTATCAATCAAGTCCAAAATGAAATCCCAAATGTTCAAACAATACCCCATCTCTGAGCGCCGAGTAGTCCGTATTCTCGTCAGGCCTTATCAACCCATCTGCCCCGACGTTTCTTGCTTCCTATTGCGCCGTTGTCGCTGCCCATCCCCAGACATCATCTGCGATGGCTGGCAGTCGCCATGATTATGAATTAGGTCAGATCGTAACATATCAACAAGCTATTACAACGCATATTTTCAACACAGACATGGAAGAGAAGGAAATGACAGGATGAAGATAGCAAGACCAGGTATTAGATCGTATGTATATATATGAGAAGAGAAGGTTCGCTTCACTTCAATCGCGCAGGCCAAACGCCTTCCGGAGTCGGGGAAATCGTTTTTTGCGTCCTGAAGATGAGATCGGTACGTCCGCCACGTTGGTCGGCCGTCCCTCACTCTTGTCCGCAGTCACGCCAGTCGAAGGATTCACGTTCTCTTTGACAGATCCTTGAGAAGGTGAAACAACCGTACTGCCGTTCCGAGGAGTTTCATCGACCGTGGCTAGTCGCTCTGCAGGGCCATTCGCAGGAAGGGGTGAGCCTGACCGACTCTCCTTCCGATCGGAGCGCAATGGCCAGTTGTCGCTGCGGGAGGACCGCTGCGAAGGCCTGCGAAGCAGCTTGGACGGGGGTGGGGGCGGATTAGTCGCCGTGATGGTGGTCACAATATTCGACTCGGCCCCAGGAAAGGGAGATTCTCCTCGTGCTTGCTCTTGATCGACTCGGGGCCGCTCTGCAGGCCCTCCGTTGCGTACCGGACTGTCTAGCCCAGGCTTGACTAGGCCTCTATCCAGAGGGGACTTCGATTTTCGAATGCTGAAACGCTTGAGAAGTCCAGGCTTCCGACCACGATTAGGCTGGCGCAGGAATTCGTCAAGCTCCTCTTCCGTCATTCCGCGATTTTTAGCTACAGCAGCTAGTGCAGGGTCCCGAGATGTGCTCGGATTCGCTGGGGACTGCGGTTTGGCTAGCGGGGGTGCACGATGGTCCTCATCTGAGCTGTCTTCCAGTTCTGTCGAATCGCCGTCGTGCGTTCCCTGCCGACGAGGAATGCCCCGGACGGGTCGCATGGCATTCGGGCTCCGCTGTTCATCATCGCTGGATTCTTCGTACCGATGACGTGACCTCCAAGCCTCGTACCCCTCATCGTCAGAGTCCGAGTCAGGGAACCGGGAAGCAAAACCACCGCCCGGCACCTTTGTGAGTTTGGACTTTTGAGCCTTGTTGTTGGAGAAGAACGAGGGCTTCTCACGTTTGGGAGCATTTGCCCGTAAGGTTGTGCGCATGGTGCCAAACCCAGATTCGGATGACACCGGGCGGGTATCCACTGACGGGGACGTTGCTCTGTTAGAGGCCAAGCGGCCCGGAGTACTTCGCATGGTCCGTCTCATGGTGTAGTTGGAGTCTGCGCGCGCAGGTCGGCTAGCCCGCTTGAAGCTGCTGGACGAATCACTACCGCTGGATAGCGGTCTTGGTGACGCCGGCGAAGTCTTGCCGTTAATGTGCGGCGTACGGCTCGGGTCTTGGGAGTCAGCAAGAGCTGGGCTCCATGAAACCGGCCGTGTCCGAGTACTGTCTGGAGTAGGCCGCTGCCTCACACTAGGTGGCTTGGGCTGGGATGCCAACTGCCCATTTACAGCTGACCCATTCACAGCACGCGGTGCCTTGTTACCAGGCATTGCGTCGCTACTTTCTACCAGCATGGAATGCCTGGCTGGACGAACAGCGACCGAAGAGGAACGTGAAATGTCGGCTTGAGAAGAGCTTCGTCTGTTCTTCGGCTCGATCGGGAATGGGGGATAAGGTGACGAAAACGGAAGAGGCTCGTGGGAAGATCCGGGGGATTCTGGGATCGGCTCCATAACCTTATCCGGGAACTCAGTCACCGTGCGTGCAATTTGACATGTTTGAGGTATATCTGGCCAGTCGGTAGACGTTGAGTGAGACCGCCCTGTGGTGCCACCAGTCTCTGCAGGTATCTTGGTTGTCCTCTTGGGAGCCGAAGTAGCAGCGGTTTCGTCGTCCACGATGGCATTGATCGACCCGAAGCCATTGCCTTCGGTTCCTTCCTCAGCATCACTATAGATACTGTCGCCCGACTCGTCACCGCTTTCGTCATCGGTAGGGCCTATGGTAGCATTGTTGGTAGCGTCCGTGGAATCCTCCTTCGCCTTCATTTTACCATGGGCTTTGGAGTCGAACTCCAACGACGAGCGAGGGAACCCCCCAGGAACCTCATACCACTCGAGACTCCGACGCTCCTTCTCAAACATGGGAGACGCCGGCTGGACCATAATATTGGGTACTGCCAAAGTCGTCTCTGCGGTACGCTCCTGCCCAGCATGAGAAGAAACATCAGCCGTCCCCGTAGGAATTTCTGACTGATTCGTTTGACTAGCAAAATGACTCTCCTGTGGCGATTTCTCCGCCTCAGATTCGCTTTCGGCTGCATTCGCAAGCATGAGCGGCGCCACGCGGGGCTCTGCTTCCTTCGATTGATTTTCGGTCAGAAGGCCCCCAATAGCGTGGTCATTGGTGAAAGACCACTTCAGTGCTTCCGCAGGCGAGTCAGACGACGTTGTTGACTCGTTGTCGCTCAACTCAGGCACGGATTTCTCTTGCGTCTCACCATCCCGACCGGCCCGTATACTGCCGAAAGACGGGAGAGCTCGCCGCGGCTTCAGCACTTCGTCAAACTCGGTATTCAGCGGCGTTGGTTTCTTCTTCCCGCCAAACCAATGAGTCTTTGGTTTGGGCTTCTCGGGCAGCGGCTCAGGAGACGTTTCTTCCGGCGATGTTGGTGGACTTGCAGCAACCCCTACCACCTCCGCCTCGTCATCGAAACTGACCTTAATTGGCTTCCTCCGGATTCCTGGTTTGGACCCTTCGTCGGAGGCTGCCGAGGTCCCATCAGATAGCTCGCTCAGCGGTGGTCCCGGCCGGAGAACGGATTCAGTCCGCCCCTCCGGAGAAAGTGAGATCTTGCGCGGAGTCTTCATGGCTGACTTGGCAGGTGACAGGGACCGAGGGGGAGGTTGGTGCAGCTGCTCGCCGGCGAAGGCTGCCACCAGCAAGTGACGGGAAAAGTGCGCAGATCTGCCCGGACTGCCTGACTGGCGAATGTCTGACGGCTGACTATCCTGGCCAGTCTCAGTGGTTTGTGTGGGCAGCTTGGGACTTATGGGCGGGCTAAGTAATTGATCCTTGCTTCGATCGGGTGTGGGTGGGAATGCGACCGTCGGTTGCGTATCGGGCGTCACACTGCCGCCTCGGGGTGGAACAGGCCGCTGTTTAGGAACATTTGACTCGGCACGTTCCTCGCCCTGGGCATCCTCAGGTACTGTGGAAGGTCGTTTTACTAGATGCGGGCGGGCTGGCTGCTTGTGTTCTGGGGGAGCAGCAGGCTGACTAGGGGCCTGGTCGGGGACTGTCTGCTCGCGAGGGGCAGCGATGCGAGGGGCCGCAGAAACCGGGGGTTGGGTGTGAGTGACATCTTGTACCCGGGGCACCACCGCAGCCTGCGCAGCGGCTACTGCAGTGCCGGAGGACTGTGCACCACGACCAGGGCTGCCCGGGGACATGCCCATGCTCTTCGTCGCTCGGACCGATCGAGGACTGGCAGTCTTGACTTTGGGAGATTCGGGCGAGGATAGCTGACCTGCAAGTGAGATGCTCGCGGAAGCATCGCGCCTATCCATTCCATTGATGGACCCATCCGGCGAATTTGGCCTAGAGTGTATCGGATAGGAGAAATTGACGGAATTCCGACTTGTTGGTCGTCGAAGCTCGGGGGACGGGGTCGACCCTGGCGCGCGCATAGCGGGCTGGGTAGCCAAACCGCGATCAACGCTCATGCCTCGTCCTGCCGGTGTCTTCCCACGAGGGCTGGGTCGCTGCGACGGCCCGACACTGGCCGAACGCTGGGCATTACTATTGCGTGCGGAGTATACTTGAGGGATGGAAGGAAGTGGCGGCGCGACCTCGACTGGACCGGAACTGGAGGCCGGGCGTCGCGGTGACTGGTCGCGGAATGTACGGGTGGACATGGAAGCCGAACTATTGGCGCGACGAAGGCCATTCCGACTCGTTGGACGCAGACTGGGTACGCCGCTTGCCTGGGACGAGACCGAGGCCCTCCGCTGCATCATGCGCTTTGTTTGGACATTTTCGACAGAAGTCGGGGTCGGCGTGAGACTGCGGAGGGCGGCGGCAGCGGCGGCGGAGGACAGGCTGCTGGAGGAGGGTTGAGATTTGAGGAAGGCATGGCTTGCAGCGGATTGTGCGGATTGCGACGAGGAGGCAGAGAGGGGATGCTGGGTTTGTCAATGGGATGATTAAGGTCGAGAGGACCGGCGGAATAGGAGACTCACCTGATGCTGAGAGGAGCTCCTCTTTCTGCGGAACATGGCTCAGGCGATGCCCGAGGCCGGAGGGAGAGGAAGTTGCAATTTGATTGTAGATTATGGTAAATCGTAAACGTCGTAGACTCAGGATAAATGGAAAGAGAATAGCAACGAACGGGTGTTGGTATGCGAAGATCAAAATATGTTTATTGATGGGCACGAAGGAAAAGGCAGCAAAGCAACGGGGAAGAGAACGAGAGGCGGAGAAAGGGAAAGGAAAGGAGGGCGGCGAGATTAGCGAGGGGAGACGAGCAAGGAGGGGAGGGAGAATGCAGGAGAGGGAATTAAGGATGCAGCTCGGATGCAGGCCGGAGATGAAGAAGAAGTAAGAAGTAGAGAAAGAAGAAGAACAAGAATGAGTGACGCAGCAGTTGGAGGGACAAACAGGAGAAAAAGTAAAGTTTGGCCAAAGAAGCAGAAAGTCGGAACACAAAGTTGGGCTCTTGCGTCATGGAGCCAAGCCGGATGGATCCTTTTCTTCTTTTGCTTCCCAACTGATTTTCTTCATTTTGTTGTGAACATGAACCATTGAAACAACTATACTAATCATCATCAAGATCTGTAGACTATAGAGTAATTTAACCTCGGGTCTTTATCCATATTATCAACCATTAATTAACATCTGATCCCCCTCTTTGTCAGAATACTTAATTCTCCCTTTCCCCTCTCCCCTTGAACCTTATACTCCCCATCTCACCCTACTATTATTACACATCCATCTAATAACATCACCACCATAACTATAATCATTATCACCATAAACACCACCCCAATATAACCATGTCCTCGTCCTCATCACCACCATTATCCCCCTCCCCCTCCCCCCCTCCATAACCTCCCGCCTCATCCCAACCACTCCCACCCTAACCACCCACATCCTCGAATCCAATTCCCCCACAACAACAACAACGACTCCACGCCCCCGCAAACTCATCCTCCTCCTCCACGGCTTCCCCGAACTCGCCTACTCCTGGCGCCACGTCCTCCCCCAACTCTCCATCCAAGCCGGACCGGACTACCACATCGTGGCCCCAGACGGGCGCGGCTTCGGGCGCACCACGGGCTGGGAAAAAGACGCCCCCAACTACCCCGACTCGAACCTCACCACTTTCACAGGCCTATCCTTAGTCCGGGATGTGGTGAGTCTAGTCCACGCACTGGGCTACACCACCGTGGAATGCGTAGTAGGTCATGATGCAGGCGCTGTGACGGCGGCGTTCTGCGCCGTCGCCAGACCCGATATGTTTCGGAGTGTCGTGTTGCTAAGTCATCCGTTTCCGGGGGTTCCGGCGCCTGGTATTACTATTGCCCAGGAGAAGAAGAATAATAATAAGAAGAAGAAGAAGAAAGATGATGATGATGATGATGATGATGATGAGGGTAAGGGAAACAAAAAAGAAGGAGATATACAAACCGACCTAAACAACCTCGGTCTAAAACACTATAAATGGTACTACTCTACCGAAAACGCCAGCGCGGAGATGGAGAACCCCGCGCAAGGTCTCCACGACTTCCTACGGGGGTATTTTCATCTGAAGAGTGGATGCTGGGAAGGGAATGACCCTTCGAACATGGGACCTATTTCCTCGTGGACGGGGGAACAGTTAGCCAGAATGCCGGGGTATTATATCATGCCGGTGGGGTTGAGTATGCCCGACACGGTGGAGGAGATGATGCGGCAGGCGAATGCGGAGGGTGTATCGAAGAGTAAGAAGTGGATGAGTGATGAGGAGTTGTCGGTGTATGTGGGGGAATATGCGCGTACGGGGTTCCAGGGCGCGTTGAATTGGTATCGGGTGCGGACGACGCCGGAGAGGAAATTTACTTGGGATTGGGAGGTGTTTGCTGGGCGGAGGATTGAGATTCCGTGTGCGTTTGCCTCGGGGGAGAGTGATTGGGGGGTGTATCAGGAGCCTGGGGCGTTGGAGAACATGCGGAATGGGACGAGTTGTGGGGATTTGAGGGAGGTGAGGTTGATTCCTGGGGTGGGGCATTGGGCGCCGCAGGAGGCGCCGGGGGAGGTGGTAGAGGTCATTTTGGGAGTGGTGAGGGGGTTGTAATTATATAGTAGCAGGGGTGTAGGTAGGAGGTAGAAGTGAGTTGTCGTAGATGTTTAGGGTTTTAGGTATGTGAGATTGATTCGATATATATAGTATGTAATGAGTACCATTACCACAACACCATGATGGAACATTAAACATGCAACTTCATCGCAAAACAAGTCATCGTCGGCTCACAGCCAAACGGGGTATGGGTATAAGGAGAGTATAAGGGTATTTATGGTAGGTATGTGCCAAGTAACCAAGGAGCAAAACAACTTCAGAATACATCATCACATCACATCATGAACAGTCCAAACACCACCATCACCAGCACCGGCACCAAGGCGTTCAACCCGGGGCTACTCAGCCGCGCCAGTGCACCAGAAGTCGTCAAGGACTTCGAGGCAAAGACATACTTGAAGGCAATGTCCGTTGAGTTGAAGCAGTTGTCTTTTGTCACTTCCTCAACATCCTCAGGTTCAGCGAAGGTGATGTCCACACACTATGGAGTCAGTCAGTATCAAACCCAATTTAAATGGATACATAGAGGGGCTGTTGCATACATCATAAAGAGCAGCACCGTGCTTCGCCGCCAACACCACCTGAATCGTCGCATTATCACCCGGGCTCACACTCATATTGGCTGGCAGCGGCACTTGCGGCAGACAGATGGTGCCGGGGTAAGGGTTGTTGGTGGGACCTTCGATTTCAAAGACCGAGAGCATGGGGTTACTCATGTTGGGAGGGACAGTACCCCAGCCGATGTTGATGTAGATGAAGCCCGTCTCATGGCCGCGGAACCAGGCAGGTTGAAGGGCAACAGCACCGCCGGTGACGGGCCATTTCGTGCGATTGCGAGAGGTGGCCATGCCGCCACCTAAAACAGTCAGTTGACTACCTTCTTTGAAGAGATGGACAAGGCATGATAGGATACATACAAGGATAGATCCATTGCATTCCATAGGGGTAGACGTAGGAGCCGTTCTTCCAAGCGACACCCAGACCGTTGGTCTCTTCGACTGTACCGTTGGTGTGCAGGTTGTTACCTCGATATCCGGGGTAAGTGATGACGGTGTGAGCATTGACCAGGCCTAGCCAGAGAAGGGTGAGGGCCGCTGTCCAGCGGGATATCGAGTCGCTGAAGGATCTCATTCTGAGGGTACCAGCGGGTAGAACAATAGAGGAAGGCGATATAAGAAAGAGGAGATATACGGAGTGCGCCAGAGGAGGTCAGATGGAACAGAAATAACCTCTAGCAACCTCGACTCATCAAGAGGCACACGAAAATAGTCACGGCAAGCGATCCAGCACTGCAGGAAGAAGAATGATCATCATGAAACCAAGCCTTCCAGCAGCTGGGCGGGAGGGAGGGCTGCCATGACTTTTTGAGTCGAGACGAAGAGGCCATGGCCGGTTCCTGCAATGGCGCTCACGGCCACCGGCATAGCGGGGAAGGCGAGCGATATGGACGAGTCACAGCGCAATGTGCGATGTGACAACTCCCGCAGGGGACAGCGGCGATTGGGGATGGGATGGGATGAGTGACGGTTCCAACGGCAGAAGTTTAGCTGATAGCAGGACTGGATCAGACTAGACTACAACTGGGGAGCGCGCGAAGGATTGCAAGAAGCAGATTGGCTGGGTGGATAGACCAGGGAGGCGGGCTGCAAGAGACATCACAGCGACAGGGAGCAGTTCTGGACTGTCATTCGCGGAGAGGGAACTGCTGGTAGCGCCGAGCAAGGGTTGGGAGAGGGCACGAGAGGGCATAGGAGGAAGCAGAAGAGGGGGAGCGACGGGCGCTATCCGGGCAGGGCGCTTAGAGATCGACTCAGAGGGGCCGATGGGGAGGTGATCGCAGTGTGACGGGACGATCGCATGCAGCTTCTGTCCATTAGTCTCGTTGCAGTTTTTCAAGGTAACTATCTCCTTCTGCTAGTAATAGCCCCGTCTCAGCGCTACTACGGAACTTTCTAATGGTTGTCAACCTTTACGCTGATTCGCATTATCACCCCGATTTTGGATGTGTTGGGGCACGATTTTGCCATAGCCAATCACATAAGAGGAACACCAAAAACAACCCTGATATGTCAACAACCTAGTACTTTGCATCCATTGTTCTGTATGATAACTACTTCTTTCATTTCCAACGATGGATACACCATACTATCTGCGTTGTGAGTTTGGATGAAAGCCGATACTGTTGGTGTACAGCCCGCTCATATGTTTATGTGTAGCTAAGCGCCCAACCCCGCCATAGTATAGGCTACGCATCTTGGTCCGACTTGAAGCGCCGTGATCAAGCTTGCATGACAGGGATATTTGTAGGTAATGTCTTTTTCCGCTCTTCTTCCTCATGCTTGGTTTTTGGCTGCATGCCTTTGCTTGACCATGATCTAGGCTCAGGAAGACATCATCTACGATAACACATGTGATCTTCATATTAAGAAGTTATGAACATTGGCGTAGTTAATAAGAAATATTTTGGCTTACTACTACCTCTCCAGATCGTCCAAGGTCCTTTATGACATCGTTTTTCATACTTCTATAAAATGAAGCTGCATTGTCTCCCAACTTCGCATACACCAGGTCTACTGGGACTAGTCCAATATCTACTGATCTCTTTCCAAGCAGGCTTACAGACCCAACGACAGTTATCACATGCAGAGAACTTCATGAAAGAACAAAAACACCGCATACTCAGTATAATATGGTTCGAGAACCTTTGCCAAATATCCAGTCCAATCATTCTGCCACTTCCATACCGCGAGAGCTTTGACAGACTCCCAATGTTCAGGATACCATCCACTAAACTCCCAGTCTTTAATTCCAGTGACGTTCCCACTATTGACCATGATATCGGGATGACGAAAATCCATGAGCAAACACAACATAATGTCTGTTCTGAGGCGAAAGCATACTAACCAGAACATTCTTGACATGACGTTTAGGTGCTCTGTCTTGATACGCATTGATAATTGCACTGTTAAAAAATCATCATCTGAATCAAAGGGTCCTTCGTAGCATCAGTATCAGTTACAGGCACTGATGACACCACTCACCCTTAAACTTAAGGTCTCCTAAAACTGGATCAGGAAGAGGCCCACGAACAACAGAGCCTATGTAATTCCTGTGCTGCTCAATTTGGCGAAGCTCATCGAGATACCCTTTCAGCTGGCTGGCAATTCGACCTTTTGTCACACTATCATAAGTGTCCTAGACCTTATCCAGCCTCTGGCCCTCCACATAACTCATGAAGATATAGTTATCATAATAGCTCCCATAGTCCCCGATGTCCCGGTCGATTTAACCATAAGAGTAATAAGCAAAGATCTTGGGCACTGATACAGTTTCAAACTGTATTCTGATCAACAAACACCATGCTTTTGGCCTCATGTAATGTGACATGAGAGTCAAATTTGACCACAACTTCAGGAGATATCTTCACTATCTGTACGCCGCCCCAGCCGAATATGGTATTGCTGGGGTTCGCCATTGTCTTGATGGTATCTGGATCGAGTACTGCGAAACCAGGGGCTGAATAGAGGATGTTGACTTGTTTGTGGTCCAGAGCCAACAGACTGTACATTTTGCTTTTTCTTCCGTGTTGGACATATTTAATACAGAAATGAAGCAATAAAGCTTTCGAAGATATTGTATACTGGTGGAAATACATGGTGGGGAGCAAATGATGGGCCCAGGCTATGCCGCCCTTATAGTTAAGCGTGTTTAGTACTTAGTATCCTCCCACCAATCAAACCCACCCACTTACCGCCCGCCCACCCGCCCATCCTCTCCCCTCTCCCCTCCGTCGCATTCAGTTCTCTCTCTGCCATTCATTCATGCATCTTCCCTCCCACCACCACCACCACCATCAGAACCCATTCGCACCAATCAATTCCACCCACCACCAACTCCCTCCTCCCAATCACACAGCAAAAGAAAAGGGGAAAAAATTAATATAAAAGAAAACCAGCAAAATGCCCCACACCTCGCGCAAAAAACACCCTCACCTCAACAACACCTTACAAGCGCAAAAACGACTCCAAATCACCGACGCCACTACCGGCTGGACGCATGTCACCACCAGCGGCAAAGCGCGCCGCTGTGCGCGCACCACCACATCCCAATCACCAACAACAAAGGAAGAATCAGAAACAACAGAAACATTCCACCCCGCCGAAGCCCCACCCACCACCACCCTCGACTCCCTCAAATCCCAATTCACTCAGATCCAACGCACATGGAAAGATTCAACTACGTGTGATGTGGTGGGGAGGACGCTTCACAATATCCTCCTTCCTCAATTTCAATTACAACCACGAGAGTCAAATACGGATAATTCACAATCGCATACTACAACAGAGAATAAGAATAATGGAATAGGAACAGGGATTGATTCCATCATCTGCATCGGTCTCGGCAGTCCGAGCGGATTTCTTCGTGGAGGATGGGTCGATCGGCGATTAGTTTCGCTGTATCAGTTGGCGGCGTTGGTGGATGTCATTGCCTCTATTTCATCCTCTTCTTTTGCTGGTGAGTAAATCTATATCCTATCTTATCTCAATTACCCAACTAAATCATTCACCGTCAATCAACAGATCCAACAATAAAAACCTACGCCCAAGACCCTGTCTTCAATACCCTCGATAAATCTCTTCTTTCCTCCCTCGACATCACCGTCCTCGAGTCTCCCCTCGCTTTCGACAAAGTATCTCCCCGTACATTCCTCTTCTGTCCTGGTGCGGAGCGTACACATCTTGAGCAGTTATTAGCGCTGGATCCGGCGTTTGTGTTTGGGGGGCCGTTGGAGGATGTCGAGTCGGAGGTGGTGAGTGCGTTTGTGAAGAGGAGGGGGTCGGTACGGTTACCGCTGTTTGAGGCACAGGAACATGCGTTCTGGAACATGCGGGTTTATTATCCATTGGAGAAGGAGGGGGAGGAGTAGTATGCTAAGGTATCATGATCTTAGATGTGGATGGCTATCCATTACCACAGAGAGAATGATGGGTGACCAGTATGATGATAACCATCTACTGGCTACACGCCTACGCTACGCCCCTTATGCCGAATCGGCATGCATGCAACAAGGGTCGTATTGTCAGCCCTATGTGGATCACACCCTCACGCTATATACAATCACGCCAAATAGCACTTCGCGTAGAATGGCGTCGTGACACTCATCGGAATGCCGCGCAAATAAATTACGGCAGCCGACCCATGCACCAGCTCAATAGAATACAGTCCTAGGACAAAGCTCTAACACCGCAAGGAAGCACAGCAGAAATCGATCAGTCGTAATGCATCATAACACATGATGTATGTCGGATATGTTGTGTACATTTCATCCATCATCACTTTCATCAGGTCTAGAGACGTATCGGCGTTCACGTAATTGTCTTGCCACCACAATCAGGAATCTTGACGCCCGGCTTCAGATTGCGAGCCGAGTCCATCAGGCCCCATTTGTCTTCCCATTCCTGACCGGGCGTATTGTACTGAACCTTCCACGGCTCATCGAAAGCCTCGAACCTGCATATATCTTAGCCGCATCCTGACAGTTGTAGCAGTCTGCAACTTACCAGAAATACTCTGTACCATTGTCCAACGCCTGACAAACCCATTCCGACAGGAACTGGTTCAGCTCATCGGTGCCCGCTACAGCGCCCTGCTTGTCATTCTGACATTTGTTGTCGGACCCACAGTCGTTCCCTCCACCCGTCGGCCATCCGACCTCTGATATGATTTGCTGTTTGTTCGTTCCTGCTGTGAGTGGGGTGTCGTGCGTTTGCCAGAATGTCCACGTCCAGCTGGCAGCGTCATCAATCTCTACTCCTCCGAAGAACGGATGAATGTTTGACATGACAAAGTCGGCTGCGCTGACCAGTTGTGCATTCCAATTATCGCCCAAGTCCGAGGTGCCCACTGGGAGGTCAATGTTCTTCTCTTTGAAGTGGTCTTTGACATCGTTAATGTAGCCGATTAGATTCGTTTCTGCGCTCGCCACGTCCGAGCCTGCTCGATAGAGAGCTTCATTACCCACAATAGCTCCTTTGAATATCGAGGTGTCGTTTGCACTTTCCACGATCTTATACAATTGGCTAATCTGGCGATCCGTAGTCGTGGTGTTGGTATCAATCCACACGCCCAGCCAGAGCTTCATGTTAGTCAACTGCAAGCGGTCAATGGCCTCGAGGACCATCTCAGTCTGATTGCAGTCAGTGCCGTAAAGTCGGATAGTATTAGTCAACTGCGTGAGCACCGCCAGGTCACGAGTAACGTTGTTCTGCGACGGAGGATATTGGAGACACAGCGGATACTGCACTCCCCACGGGGTATAGTCGACACCGGGAAACACTTTGTGGAGGTTCTTGTTGTTCATGAGTGCCTTGATCTCGTCGGAATCCTTGTCGAGCAGGTCATCTCCTTTGCTCGAACCACCAGACCCTGTGCCTGACGATGGCGACGACGTATCACCGTCATGTTCCTGATGTCCCAGGATGCCGCCGACAGCGCCCCCAACAATAGCTGCCACGATCACTGCCGCCAATACGAGCCCAACAATCCACCCACGTTTGCGACTCCCGCCTCCAATAATGTGCCTACCTCCTTGTGCCTTTTCGGCCCCTCCCAACCCACCTCCAATATCAGAATCATAATACGGACTAGGCTGCTCTTTCTTGAAAAGCGCCCGAAACTTCCCTAAAAGCCCCCCGGCAGCTGCTGCGCCAGCGACACCTGCAGCAGGCACATTTCCGTTCGATCTGTAGTCCGCCACTCCCTTGGGGTGGACAGGGAACCCATCATCGCCATCGTCAGCAATATCATCCGGATTGATGACAAGCGGGTAGTCGTGAGAACTATAAGCCGAGTGCCGCTGATACGGTCCAGCATCCACACCTTGGTACGGACTATCGAAGAAGCTACGTTGGGATGGCGTGGTTCCCGGCGTGCTATGTTCTGCAGAAGGCGCGCCAGCATTAAGCCCGGTACGCGAGCTGTAAGAGTCGCGATACCTCATCGTCTCCGAATTCGAATAGATGTCTCCATCGGGCGGAGCAGGTATATAGGGATTATCGGAGCCGGTGGTGTTGAAATCCCGTTCAGCAGGGAGATTGCGTACTGGAACATCTGTTTCCCTAAAAGCGTCAACTCCACTCTGGCGATTATTAGAATTGGCTACGCCAAGAGCGATACCACTGATTCCGCCACCCACAGAGGCCGGCCCCAGATTATCCATCCCCGGCGTCGAGGTCATGTGGCGCTCCAGACTCTGATCTTCCGGCACTGACACCAGACCTCGGTCGAATGGCCTAGTCTGCGCTTGAAACCCAGCAGATAATGGGGAGATGTCGCCATATGATGTACTGTAGAGACCGTCTTCTGCAGATCGGAGGGGTGAGATCTCTCGCTCATCATCTCTTAACAACGCATCGTCGCCGCGACTGTAACTAAAGGACCGGTTCACGCCGGCCATGCTGGAACATGTGACAAGGGATCTTTTGTGAATGATTGTTAGGAAATATCGCAATAGGAGACGAAATAGGTATAATAATAAGGTACTGAGCGAACTGGCGACGAAGGAAGAGAGGGCGATAGATGAGGAAGAGATACTAGTAGGAGCAGTGAAAGGAAGGAAGAGAGCACCAAGCAAGATCCCAAGTAAGACAGCCAGACGAACGAGGCAAGGGCAGAAAAAGCGGTCTCCCGGCAGGAAGGTGGTAGTAGTAGTATGGCACCCCAACCTTCGCAGGGTGTTGTTTCTAAATCAAGAACAAGTCTGACAGCCCGGGCGGAACCACGGTTCGTCGTTTACAGACGATCCCGTGAAAGTCACCCAAGGATGGGCGGAATATCGTGGACCAGTGAATTGCGACGGGCTATTTTCTTCGACGCAATTGTCAGCATACCGCCGAAATAGAAAAAGGAACGCAGCCACGAACTCAATCAGATTTGAAATGCAAACCCGGATCTTAGACTAAGTTTCGGGGTGTCTTGGATTCGGGACGTGAGGGGGTGGAAGGATGGATGGAGAAGGCGGATATGAAAGAGAAACAACGAGTAGTCGGTTTTAGGATGGGTGGCAGTCGATGGATGGAAGTCGGAAGAGTGGTAGTAGATAAAGTGACTGCATGCGGCACAGAAGCAGTGGAGAAAAGGACCCCAGCTTCCATGGCGACGAGCAAAAAAGGTTGATGGATGAAGTTACTTTTTTGGTGGAGGGATGGGTGGGAGGGAGAGCGGCGGTGGCCCCGACAACCATTAGACTTGTACTGTATACTGTATGGCTGTATGGAGCGGGTGTATGTAACTGTGCCCTGAATTGGAAGCCAAACGTCGTACTAAACGCCAGGGTCCAGCAGCCACTAAGCCGCATCGGGTCAGGGTCTTTCCCCGGTTGGTCCACTGCCGCTTCGACCTAATCGGAATCGGGGTTGCACGTGCCCGCCCAGATGCACTGAATGCGGCAGGCAGCAACCAATTAACCTTGTTTGGTCCCGTATTCTTTGGGGTTTCATTGACACACACCATTGACACCAAAGGAAGGAAAAGAAACAAAACCATAATACCATCATTCACATTCAGAGTTCCATCATCAGTCATTCATCATATTGTTTTCGTAGTAAGGGCAGCCGTCAAATCATCATAATCATGTCAAGAACAAAAAATCATCATCGAAATCCAACGCCCGATCCATCAGACCGCCATATCCCCTTCCCTCCTCTTGGACTCCCTCCCGATATCTATTACTTTACATAGCGGCCCATGATCGCTGTCGGCCCCGTCAGCATAACCCTGAGGGACAACCCGGCAGAAGGATCAGGCGAACTGGGACAAGAAACGAGTGACACGGTCAAAGTAAACATCTCCCTGACAAAACCTTCAGGGATACGGTAGCACTGAATAAAAATAGAAGATGGTGTGTTTCCAAGCTGCATGGGTCAAGCCTCGACCTCTTCAGCACTGCGCTGCGAGGCAGACACCTCATGGGCACCGGCAACCCGAGTCGGGACCCCCGCCGCTCGTCGCTTACGCTCGAGGAATCGTCGTTTGCCCGCCCGCGTCTCGAAATGCCGGGGAATTGATGTCGGTTCCTGGCCAGCCGCCAGCATCGTACTGCGCATCTTATTTCGGTACGCGTCAACTACATTCCCGACACGGGTCAAAGATTAGTCACATTCACGGTGTTCCGAGGGTGGGGACTGCATGGCCAACATGCAGGCGATGCAAGGGATGTAAGGGAAGGGAAGATCACGCACGAGATCGCTGCAGGAACAGCATTCGCCCCGCAAACACTCGACTTTGGCTCCAACTCATTCGATAGCCCAGGTCATTCAAGAGTACCTCTCTTCTCCGTCGTCCTCGGGACAGCCGGGGAACCGCGATCTCTCCCTCACCATCAATTTGTGGTGCAGGAACCATGATCCTTCCAACGGTCGGGCTGTCATCATCATCGGCATCTTCACCCTCATCCACCCCAACATGGTCCTTGATATATCGATTCCCAGGGACGGCTCGACCCGGGTCCCTCATCTGAACAGGAAAGTATGTCCGGGGATATACCGCATTAGACATCCTGTAGGAGTCCGGAAGCTCGTCCATATCAACCTGGTCCAGCATGACCTTGACTCGCACGCGACAACCCCGCTGGTTATCGTCCACCAGGATGAACTTGCGGCGTTTGCCCTCAGGCAGTGTGCCAAAGAGCGCATCGCTGCTTGGATTGCGCTCGTCATCGTCATCGTCCACTTCTTCGATCCGGTTCGAGGAGGTCGCAATGGTCGGGTGGCGCCCGAGAGACCCGAGGCCACTATCTCGGAGTAGTGGTGGTATCGAGGGACCCCTTGGTCCCCCTGAGGCCGTCGCGGGGGTCGGATAGGAAGGATAGCCATGGAACACCTGCGCCGTGCGGATGTCCGTTGGTGATGGTCCGGGTTGCAGACCATCCGAGACAGGTGGACGACTGGTACCGTTCGTATAGTCAGTGGTACCTATTATGTATGATAGGACAATATATAAATTAGCCTACGCAAAACTGCAGGTGGCACGTCATGTTTGAAAGCACAGCGGGGTACAGCGTCAACGTAGCATAACAGGCAAAACATGAACCGGGTATGGGAAAAACAACAAGCAACAGAACGACAAGAGCCTCTCCAGACCAAATAGAAATACATGGGGTACGGTATCCATATCTCTTGGAAGAAAGCACACCAAATTCACGTCCGTTCGGTGGCGATCTGCCTACTTAGACATGGCAAAAAAAAAAAACATTCGAACAATACAAGACAAACCGACATGAGCACCGTCGATTCATTCAAACAGTGTCAGGGACAAGCACATCATGTGTGGTGGAACATACCGCTAGCTTCTTCGTGGCCTGCACTTCCATCTGGCTGGGCATGGTGGTGATGTAGCTGAGGGGGGCCCATGGGCAATGGCCCCAGGCTGGGACGAGGACCGGGGGCGGGCATACTAGCACTTGGCACCCCAGGGCCAACAGGGGTGGAAGGCGCCATGTGAGGCGGAGGCACAGGCATCCCCTGCCGCTTGTTAATCTTGGCCATTCTCCTCACACGCCGGCTTCGAAGTCGAGGGTCCTGGTTGCTATTCCTCCAGCTATCCACTGCCCGCTGAATCAGCCCACGCTTGCCTCTCAGTGCCGGGTTCAGCTCCGCCAAGGCCCATCCAACAGCATTACATTCAGTTTCGTAGACCAGCCGATTGCCCCTGTACTGGTCCTTGCTGCAGCAGGCTCGAGGGTAAACGCAGTTTTCAGTCTTAAACTCCTGGCTTAAATTATCCACATTAACCGACTCAACGTCGCAGCGGATTGTATACTCCATCTTTACACGATCCCGGGAGTACTCAAACGCGATCCACTGGACACCATTGCTATCTTGTCGGACAACCAGGGGGGTTGTGGCAGGGATTGGTCCTGGTGCCGCACTAGAGCTGGCCCCGACATTAGAGTTTTGATGGTGAACAGCACTGGCTGACAAAGGTGCACCACTAGCTGCTGAGTGAGGGGGGTTTAGCATCGTTCTCTGAGGGGGCGTTGGCTGTTGTGCCGCAGCTGAGTTTGGACTACTTGACAAGTTCCCTGTTGGAGCCTGAGCCGGGTGATGCGGTAACTGCGCAGTGCTTGTCGGATGGGGCACCATCAGTGGCTGTGTCGTAAGAGGATGCTGTTGGGGAGATGTATTCGGTCCATAGGGTGGAGGCTGTACGGGATTCATGGGTGAGTATGGCGGATAACCATACATTTGCGAGGTCATTTGGGGCGACTGTGTGTATATGCCGCGATTATGCTGTTCCTGTGTTTGGGAAGCTACTGAAGCAGGCGAGCTGGATTGGGGCGTATGATAAATTGGAGGATACGGCCGCTGCATTTGCGTGGCTGTAGCCATCATTTCTGGCGGTCCTGAAAATGAATCAGCCTCTGTGGCATGGATTAACCAGAACAACCTTTGGAGCATATTGTCGTCACTGCTGCTGCGGATACCATTACACCAAAGATACCAAAGAAACCCCTTACACCGCACTTACCACTTGATGAGTACTGACTGGGTGCGCTTGCGGTACTATAAGAGGAATGAGATGAATAGTACGAATGCTCTGATGGCGGGCCGTAGGAGTGCTGATGATGTATAACTCCGTTGCCTAGGGCGTGATGTGCGTATGAACCAGACGGTAGGGTAGTTGAAGGCTGATGTGGTGATTCTGGTTGTTTCTGTGGCTGGACCAGAAGAGTTGGTCGAGGATGCTGAAGATGAGGCGGTTGCGGGCCGGAATGGCGATGCTGGGTCAAACGACAGTTAGCGCTAGAACCTGAATTCTTCCCAAAACAAGTTTCAGAATCCAAGTGTTCGAATATTGCAGCTTGCGATATGATCAAAGAAACGCTTAAGTATGTGCATGACAAAAAACAATGTAGTTGAATCAGAAACTGCACATGGGAGCACAAATCAGAGAGTTGCTTATTCTATAAGCAAGGAACCAAGCACACATATGGTTGATCATCCGTAGGAGACAGCCCGATGCGTATATGGCGGCATACAGGCAATAAGGAAAGCACTTGCCACAGGCAAGCATCGTTGGTAAAAGGTTGGCAACTCTGGACCTATTCGCACCTCCCAAAACCTCGGTGGGTATGATGTCCATCCTGCTGGCAAGTTGTGTCATTCAGGCAACAAGAATGACCCTCCTTTATCGCCTCCAAGGGAACGTGGAAGGAAGACACGTGGGATCCGAATCAGATTCATAGTTTGGTCGAACAGTCAAAGCCGAGTCAGCGATGACTTTCTGCAAGCGCGGCTAGAGAGCATGGCAGATGTGGGCATGACCCGTGCTGAAGAAACTTTCCAGCCCCATTGGCGGCTCTAGTGTCGCAGGACGTTGAAAAATATTCCGAATGTCGAGGGTGAGACCACAGGGTGTTCGACGGACGTCGGAAGACAAGGCGTCCGTGCATCTATTATTGGCGCATTGCGGGAGACGTCATCGCAGTGGAAACAGGCGACACGGTCAGGTTATCGTATACGGTCTCAACAAGCAGGGAGGCCTGCTTTACTGAGGACCAAATGCCCACATACTCCCGGGTTCTCCCCAGTAGCACTCATGCGCAGTAGGCCAGGTTGACCTTGGATGAAGGCAAAGGCATGGATTGATGCAGGCATGAGAGGCAAAAGACCAAGATAGAAAGGTCGGAGAAGGGAAAAAGAAAATACTGGAAAAAAAAAAAGAACAACATAACAGGCAAAAAAGCACTGGTTTCTAGCACTCAAGAAGTGTTGAGAATACACTCACAGGATCTTCCACTGGCTCGTCCTTGTACTTTGGTGCAGGTGGATGAGCTAGGTCAGTCTGAACCATGCCGGTCATGACTGACCTCGAATGGTCCGGGATGAAAATCCTTATTTATTTTTTTTCTGACCTTCCTTTGCTTTCGTCCTTCAATGGCTTCAGCTCATATGATAAGGGGAAAGAAATCTAGAGGAGAAACATAAAACAAAGTTCAGCTTGGGTGCGGGAGAGAAGAAAGGATGCGCGTAAGGAGATAGTCCGGAGGGAGGGGCTCAGAAACGGGGGTGGAAAGGATATCTAGACTAGACTGGAGAAGAGCTTATGAAAAGGAAAGCTAATGAGAGGCTGAAGGGTAACGGTAGTGGCTCGTTGGTCCGTGTGGTTCTGAACCGGGGGAGGGGAGGGGGGTGAAGGTGGGAAAGGAAGGGGGCCTGGCGATGATGGGCCTGGATAAACGGTGCAATGCGAGTGTGCAAGTGTAATTGTGGAGGGTCCAGGGTCGTTATTTAGCTGCGCTGGAGACCCATCCTTCAGTCAGAGGAGTTGTTCACCAGCTAGCTATTCCGGAACAGGTATGGGGGGAGATGAAGAAGTCTGGGAGAAATAAATTAAAGCAGGGAGAAGGGGGCGGAAAGAATAGAATAAAAAATAAAAAAAACTAGAAAAAGGATTTAAATGAAAAATAAGATTAAGGGTAAAAATGAATAAATAAAAAAGAAATAGGGAAAGAAAACAGACAAGTGACGGAGGGCAGGACAGCGTCAGAGGGATGCACTGACTAGTGGGGATATCAGGATGAGCTTGTAACTAGCGGGAAGGTGGTGTAATATTGACCAGGATGGATGCAGGACGCAGGAGCAAAAACGCGAATGCGACACTTTGAGGGTCTCTGAAGAGGATTGACTCGAACAAAGCGACTCCTGACGACAGTCAGGCGCAATTGAAAGGGAAAGAGATGGCTGACTCGATGAATTGTCTTTTGGGGGGATGATTCGCAGCATGCAGTGGCAGAGTCAAATCCAAGAATAAAATGTTTGTGGGAAAAGTAAAATCATAAAAATCAACGGGCCAAAAAGAGGTGAGAATTCTGGGGAAGAGAGAGTGAGGGTAATAGAGGAAGAGAGAGCCAGTAGACGCCGAGCACGGCATACAGTAGGGGACTTTTTCTTGCAAAAAAGAAATATCAGATGCAGAGCATGACGGTTTACCTGTAGGCCACCACTAACATGGCTGCGACCCCGGGAATTGTTTGACGATAAGAACCGTGGGTAGTAGGGATAACTGGCAAGGAAACAGAACGTACCTTTGGCCCGTCGAGGTTCAAACTAGGAAAAACTGTCCAGCAAAACTGGCAACTGGACTAGAGTAGCAGCAGTATGAGGGATGATGGGCAAAGCTTAAAGAGCAGGAAAAAAAGAAAGGTAGAACAAAGACAGTAGACAAAGAAATCGGAAACAGCCGCCGAGCGTCGAGATCTCAAAACTTTGAGGAGGTCAAGCAGATGGGGTTCCGTTGTTTCGCTTGCGTTTTTGTACTTGAGATTGTGACGACCAGAAATGGATCGGAGACTAATGCGCCAGTGAGAACGGTGATCCAAAAAGGGAGCAGTTGGTGGTTAGGTCTGGAGAAGTATCTACTGATCAACCGAGTGTCGAACGGTGTATGTACAGAGAGTAAGTGGTATATGGTCAGTGGTAATCCGCATGGCTTCTCTCGCCTATCATGCTGCCGACAACTAATCATAACAGGCCGGGAAACAATCTCATGAAATTACTGTGACAATCATGGCTTGCGAGCTGCCACTTAAAAGGCAAGGGTAGTGGAGGGAGAACATGCAGCTACTTTTACCTACTTGGTAGTAGGTAAGTAGCAAGCACCTGCCACCCACACCACCCTAAGAGCAGAGTGGGTGTGCGGGTGTGTGTGCATCCGGCCGGGTGAGTGTCAATATGGCCGTGACAGATCGTGTTGGCCGGGATTATTAATCGGCTGTCATTTTCTTTTTCTTTTCTTCGTTGGCATTTTTATTTTTCTTCTTTGCATTAACTTCGCCCAGTCAACGCTATCTCGAGTCATTTGGCCGGTCATCTTGGAGCTGCTGTCTCTGCTAATACAATTAAAAAGAAGTTCACAAGCCCCAAACATCTCTCAAAGTAAAAGCGTGAAGGGAAAAAGGCATCCAAATTGTCGAGGATAATGATTAGTATTGGACGAAAAGGGAAAATGGAAAAAATAAAAAAAGGCAAGGAAAAAATTGGGGAGAAAGGAAACAGATAGAAAAAGAAAATTTCCCATTGGCATGTTGGGCTCCAATACCCACACAGGTGTTTTTAGGTTTGGAAGGAAAGGGCAGAAAATGGATGGTCTGGATTAATGAAGATTGGCGCCGGGAGGATTAGGCACAGTACAGTAGCCGTTGTTAGTTTGATGGGTAGGTAGTCGGATTGAACGGTACCGTCCAAACATCTTGTTATAGATGCGAAGTATAATCCTCGTCTTTGGGAAATAACTGGATATCATGGGTTTGGAAGAACCACTTGGTCGAGTCCACCATCGGAGTGGGATCTCTCAGAGATTCAATCCAGGTACCACCGGGTAAGAGCTTGATTCCCACCCACACGAGTCGCTGCCTAGGATATGGCCGGCCAGCCCCCGGTCATGCTTAAAGGGTCATAGTTTAGAGCTCACAATGGTGATCGTTATTGATAATGAGCTACTGAAATGGCACCCTGGATTGACAAACCATAATCTCCATGTCCTGAACAGCCCAGCCCAACTCCACTTAGTAGACATGGCCTGTGACGCTGGCTCGATGGATCGGCCCAGTCACCACAGCTCTAGCCATCTATTGATCCCGCGATAGTGCTGATGATCGTGTCATGGAGGACGTTATTTTCATCGTTACCGTTGTCTGCGTTTGCTGATATGGGTCAAATTGTTCCAGACTGTTTGTTTGATATTCCTTCTTATGGAATAATTCCAGTTCAGTCAACATCGCGGCCAATTTTCTGTTTTCATTTTCCTTTTTCCTATTTTATAATCCTAATCTGTCAATTTCATTCGCCATTTGTTTCCTCTCTGAGGATTTTAGCCCCATCTGTCTGCCTGTTTTTCTTCGTTCGCGGGACATCCAGTCAATAATACGAAATACGCGACTCGATCTGGTTACACTCCGGTATGAGAACGACCGATCTGACTTGCTGCGGTCAGCCTTGTTCCCACATCTCAAAGGCGCCACTCAACGAATGGCACCCCTCCCGAGTTCCCCATCAATCAAGATCAATTTCTACTCCTACCACCACACATACACACACACAAAGACCAGTGGCATTTGAGGTATTCCGTACGCCCCATCAGATTCAGGTTTGCTTCATTTCTTTTTTGACTTTTTTGTTTTTCCTGTTTCAATTTTGCTTTTCTTTCTCTCTTCGGGATGACGAAAGTTTGGCAGTTTGCGAGTTGATGCTGTCAGTAACCGTCCAATCCTATCCATCCCTCCCCGGCCCGGTTCGAATAAACTTGAGACAGCCTAACGGTGTCCGGTCGATTAATTTATTACTCACCCTTCCCATGCGGATGATGATGATGATGATTCTGCTGCTGATGATGCTGCTGAAAGGAAAGTAATGACGGTGTAACCCCAGCTCTTGGGCTGGAAAGCGGCCGATCAATCATCATTGGCACTCTGGTGGGCTCCTGATCCTGCCGCTTCCCGGCGACTAGCTTCCTGCATCATGCTTCCCAAGACACCTTCATACGTTGAGAAGTGATGAACCTACTCTTACCCTTGGGCGATCGAAATCATCCTTGAAGCCAACTGCAGTGTCCATGGCCAGGAGGAGCCGGTACGCCCCGGATGGGCCGACGGGGCCGTGGCCACAACACCACTTTATTTATCGTAGGGAAGGGTCATGATTTGATTCTCGTTGACGGGGCGCGGCCCAAATTTTCTTTCTCTCTTCCTCTCCATATTCAGCCGGGGACGCTCATTCAGTCAGCCTGCCAGAATTCACGGGACAGCTCCACTGAGGCTTCCGTGCAATCAGACGGCAGCTCCACCGTTAGTGGGACTTGGCGATTGGGTGGTATGGGAGGTGAAATCAAAGAAAGTGGTGCTTCGACGATTCTAGCCTCCCGGAGAGCAACTAAAGCAAACTGGCCAGATAAGTCAAGTTACTTTCTTTTCCCCCAGCCACACTGTTACAGCGCGATTCTTCTGGCCGATGCCCGCCAGAGAATGGGGGTTCCGCTGTTCTTTTCCTGTTCGAGAAAAGCATAAGAATGTCCTCGTGCACCCACTCCCATGTGAAGTTTGAATCGGACGGCACAGAAGGGCCTCCCGTTATGGTTGTCTCGGAATATATGTTTAAAAGGGGGACCGGCCGATGCTGTGTCCGCAGCAGCAGCACCACCACCACCACCACCAACAATGGGAAGGTTTAACACTTCCTCGACGTGCAGGAGCTAAAGTAAGCATGCCGTGTACTTTACTGCAGCCAGACTGCAACTGTTGGGACGCCTTTTGTCCGATGGCTACAATGGTGAACTACCACCTCTGTGCGGCGTAGTAGATGAATGGGATTAGCTAGCTGTCAAGCACGGAGTACGTGGAGAACCAACAAAGGAGGGGTCGGATCCGGACCTGGTGTAGCTTGTGGGGAGCTCCAGACTCAGCTTTGGTCTCCAACATGCTGCTGCTGCTGTTGTTGCTCCGTCTTCTCCTCATCCTCCGTCCACTCAATCCACCGTTAGCCCGTTCGGTTCGGGCCATAACATATCATTGACGCCATCGCAGGAATACTAAGATTACTGAGTGGGTAGCTGGTATCGTCTCCTTCCCTCAGAGAACCGAAAAGGGACACAGGAGACTTACCAGACGGGGCTTAGTGGAAAAGGTCGTCGTAATCCAAGCCCTCCCTCTTTCGGACAAGTTCGCAAACGCTGAGTTGCTGCGCCGCCCAGTCGCAAATCTCACCCTCCAGGAGGCCATGTGTGTGGCATGCTCACCACCTTAGCTGCCTTTAGCGTCGGGTTGGTGGAGTCCTTGGGCTGAACGCAAGCAACGGTGTCAGACCTCCTCCTTCCCTGTCATTGGCATTTCTCGTTGTGATCGATGCAGGGTGCTAAAGTCCGCGTTCGCACTATGTGGTAGTTCCGTGACCCCCCCCCCCCCCCCCCCCCGGTCGCTCTCCTGGTCTCTGCCTTCTCGCTCTTCATTTCGTGCTTCTTTCCTGTCTCACTTGACTACTATTTCGGCTTGCCTTTTCTGATTCTAGTCTTCATTTCCAACCATATCCCCTCTTTCTGCTACTCTCCTGATGACAGGAGTTGTTTCTTCTGATTGGTCTCTTTCCTCGGTCCCGGAAAATACTACTATACCTTGCTAAGTAATCGCTCTGGAAAGGACAGTTCCAGAACTACCACGAGTGGGTGAGTAATACGGATACTGCGACGTTAGACCCATCTGAACAACCATTGTCGAGACTCGAGACTTTGGACCAAGTAAGTAGCACCGAGCTTGCGATGGAACCTAAGCAGGTACAAAAGAGGGGAAGGAGCGGAGCGAAGCTTTGGCGAACGATTGGGGCCCGGAGCCGGGCGATGTGACGACCGGAGGGTTACGAATCCAATCCAGCATTGGCGGGTGATGGTGCTCCGCGTACCTGATGCTGAACCATATTGGATACGTTGGATGGCGATGAGTGAGACTCTCTTTGTAGGACTTTACTCATCGCGTCTCAGCCATTGTCTGATCTACAAATGGTGGTAGGCTCTGCAGTCACCAGACCTCGCGACCGCCACAATCATCGCCTACTACTTACCGTCACCGAGTGGTCCAACAAGCGGCTTCCCTGAATGGGTCCTAACGGGAGGCCGTGCTCGGGAGAATTCAGGCGTGTCGATTAGAGGGTGGGAACTTTGAATAGATTAGGTACGGTAGCCCCAGCGCGCGGGACTAACTGGATGGTTAGTCGGAGGAAAGGCAGGTCCTCGAAGTTTGTTTGGTAGGTGTAGGTTAGATAAAGTGGGTATGGAGCCATCGATGCGAGATGAGTGTGAGGTTGAGTTCGAGCTGCGACACCTTCCGACAGGTCGAGATAACTACTCACTACTCCATACTTACTAGTTGAAGGTTTACCTGTTCGAAGGACCGACGACTGGTTCGATCTGGGCGGTGAAACCTCGTATTTCTCCTCGGAAGAAGATCGCACGAACGAACCCAAGTACTTCCATGAAACAAGAATCTAGAATCAATGCCTCTCTCGGGAGCACGGCAACATCGGGGAACCCGTCGGGCCCAGTTGCTTTATGTCTCTCATCCACATACTTTGTCGTAGTCTACTCATAGTGCTGTGGACTAGCAGATGGAACAGAAGGTTTCCAGCTGAAACCGATAACGAACCAAGGAAAGGCAGGTTGGGTGCCAGGGAACAAAAGCGGAGCCACACTGAGATCGCAAAACAGGAACTAAAAAGGGAGCCCACTTTCAGCCCGAATCACGGGGGGCTCCGTTTCCGACTCCGACAGGGAATCAGAACCCCTGGGTGGATCACTTAATTTCTCCCTTTGATATCATCGGATCGACTGGGGGGGGGGGGGGGGGAAGTGAGGTGTTTATTATTATGGAACCAAGCAGCAAGAACCGACACAGCAAGTTGTTCACACTTTACAGGTTGAATTGAACCACGGTCTGGTTCTACGGAGTAAAGTCCGTACGCAGTAGTGGTTGGTACCCGTCGAGCTGAGCTCGCTTGAGACGGAGGTCAACTCCGGCGCTTGCGCTACCGCAAGTACTTACTGCCTACCAATGGCAGTGGTTGTCGAGGAACACGACACGACAGCCTACGAATTTTGTTTTGTTCCCCAGTATTAAGTAGGCAGGTTATGCGAAGGTTGTCTGGCTGCCTCTAACTCTCCTCTTGTACTACCGTGTGTTTCTCGAACCTCCCATTCTGAAAAGTTAGCGCGCAATCACTGCGCCACATTAATCTTCTCCATCATTCTCACCTTCAGAAAGCAAAACAATAAGAAAAAAGACGCATCCAGCTGCGGTGGGACCCGTTCTGGCTCGTTTTCCCTTCCCACTTAATTATTATCATGGCTAGCATGCTTCAGGTGGTGATCGGCAACTGGGGGCCGTATGCACATCAGGTTGGCCGCTGCTCTTAACGACCGTACTAAGAACAATCCTTGTCCGACAGATCAACTATCTACGGATAGTGAGCTTGTCAAAGTAGCCTTCTACAAGGATACCTGGATGGATCAGCTCCCTAGCATGCATAAGTGTCTGTGCCGTCAAGACACCCTCTCCGCCTTATGTACGGAGCACGGATGGAAAATCTCAAGTGCAGCAGTTGATGATGAGTGTGCGGGTTACAAGGTAAGTAGTATGCTTACCTTTTTTGCCTTTGATCTTGATCTTGTCTATTACATGAACCCTTATGTAATGGCGATGTCATGTCTCCATCATCCCCCGATGGCTAAAGTAATATCAGCCAATATTATAACCATCGAAACATCGCAACGGAGATCTTTGAACCGGTAAATAATTGCACGACGGGCCAGCAATCACCATGTTTGCCCCGCAGTCCGACTCCACCCGTTATAGCCTACCAGCTCCCACCCTCAATTTATTGAAAGCCGAGTCGTCGAAAAGCAAAAAAGGCAGAAAAAGTAATTATAACATCATCCTGCAACGTCCAGAACAACGCTGGTCTAGCTTGATGCAGAATCCTTTTAGGCGAACGAACGAACTTACGATGGTCGAGTCGCCGTTGGGGGACTACCATTACTAAGTTTGGTGTGTCGAGTAATTATATCATGTGTGAGTGGGTCTGCCGCTCTAATACGTAGGGCATCACCTCTTTTTATTTTATTATTATTGTTTTTTTTTTAGCACTAAACCTCCCTTGTATCTAGTCCGATAGTCCGTGAGGTATCTAGACTAGGAAGTGGATGAAGGTGTGTGGGATGTATCGATTCGAGCGACCTAGACTTTTTGATGGCCGTACCTGAGCAGTGAGCAATGCCCATCCACTCCACCACCACCACCAAGCTCGTAGTTGATACACCACGACATGCATACACCATCTACCAACAGAGAATCTACTAAGATAGTAGTGCGAGACCTCTCTCCATGTCAGGCAGTTACCCCATGGAGAGAGAGAAAAAGAAAGAGACTGGATGAACAAATAATCCCGATCAACAACCGGCTGGACCCATCTTGGCAGGAGATGCAAGGCAGCGCCAGCAAAAAACCAAATTGAAGAAGAACAAAGAAAAGTCACCCAATACATTTCGCGCCCACGTATTTTCATTTTCTTCGCTCCATGGTTACCCTGATTTGAAATCAGATGGGAGTTATGAACCATGGTTCGATGTTTTGACCCCTTTCTTCATAGGTAGATAATATAGTAACATTTCCTTTTCCTTTGAACTTCGGGAAGCTTAAATGTCCGATATTCGACCGTGGACTTACATCCGATGTCATGTAGCTAGGTAAGTAACTGTATGTATGTGTGTATGTATGCGTGTTGTCCTGTCACTGACTATACTTACTACTGCACAGCGCTGGGTTTTACACCGAGTTATACATCTGTATGTACTGCATAGTTATTTATTGCCCTGTATCTGGGGAAGATACTTCGGCCGGAGCTCTGTCTCATTTGTTTCAACTACCACCATTAGATAGAAAATCACTTTGTTCAGTCCAAATAATCAGACTTTGCTCCTAACCTCCTACAAGTAGCTACCTCAAGCAATCCCCCTAATTAATTAAACAATCCCACATCAGACACCCGATTCGAAAACCATCAAACATAACCATCGTAACGTAACACCAATACCCAAACCAGCACATACATACATACGATCAAATCAAACAATTAAACAACAGCCATCATCATACTTAACTCCCACGAATGTCACCCTACATGCCGATCCCTACTCAAATCTGCCCTCCCACCCCTTATGTAATTCCCTCCCTTTCCTCCAATCCAGACCCCCCGATAATTACAACCTTGTCCAACCACGCATGACAGGATACTGAGATGACAGGAGGGGGGTTATATTCTCCGCACCGGGCAAGCAAGCAAGCGGACGGATGGATGGATGGATGGAATGACGGGTTCGGGTTTTGAGGTCTACGGAGATGGGTAGGTAGATAGGTAGGTAGGTAGCTAAGAGCCGCCCGTAGATTGCTTGCTTGCTTGCTTGTTCGGTTACGGAGGTGTAGCTTGTGTCTCTTTTCATATAGGTATATAGTAAGAATGCTTCTCTAAACTGCTTAGTTTTACACTGTTAATAATGTAGTACTCCGTATGAATTCTTGTTTCAACTTTGACAAATAATTCCCAAGGATGACAAATGTTTGCTTCCCTCCCATCACCACAATAAACTAAACCCAGAACCAGAGTTGAAATCTAGGCTTCCAGATTACTTCACCACCCCAATGGATATGTCCCGTCGGGCGGATATTCAGCAAAGCAAGCAAGCAAGAAGGCAAGCAACAATCTCCGCGTTGTATTGGACATACGTAAGTGGTTCAAGGAGGATTCAGCCTATCTACGAAGGTGCTATTCACCTTAAGTTGTAGACAAGTCCTTCTTTGAATCTTAATTGGTATAGAGAGAAGGTCCTCTATCTTTTTGCCTATTTCGACCTAGTATAACTACTAAATCTCCCACACACACTCCCTCCCTCCCATGGGGAATGGAAACAATGTAACGAACAAATAATACAATACCATACATAAATACAACATAGCTGTCAGATTTTAGTCCGGTAAAATAAGTAAGTAAAGAACAGAAACAGAAACATGTGTTCTGAGCCCTAAGGGCTGGCCGCCGGCGCAGCAGCCAGCCAGTGGCCCAACGATTCACGCCCTCTTCCTCCGGACTAAACTATTAGTAGTGGTGGTGGTGGTTGTTGTTGTCTGGTGTTCCGGCCCCACCATCCGACGCCGCCGAAGATGGAGAAACATTGAACAATTCATGGGAAAATGGGAGTCTGGATGTGTGTGTGTGTGTAGGGAACTAACTAACTAGTTAGTTTGTTACTCGCTAAGTAGTTGGTACTATTCAGCTAGTAGATAGATGAGAGAGATATTTTTAGCTAATGACTAATAGAAGGGGAAAAATAAAAAATAACTAAAAGCATACGGAGGTGAATAAGTAGTAGTGACCATCATGATCACAAACAGAAGGATGTCACGCCGGGTCCAGACGGGACTACTAACTGTTGATCGGAGGGGGAGATGGTGTTGGAGAGGGGAGGGGGAAATGAAATGAATGGGATTGATTCATCTCTCGAACTAACTAACACTAACTAATTGACTTATCCGTAGGCTATCACACACGCACACACGCGCCTACAATTTTTCCACACACACACAATACCACTCACTCACCCCTCCTCTCCAGCCTGACAGCCTGCATGACTAGGTACATAGGGCATGTAGGTCTTAATTAAATTGATGTGCTGTGATTCATTGCCGTTGGTTTATTTTTCTTTTGCTTTTTTATTTTTTTCGTGCGCAACGATAGGTATGTAACCTAGACTTGCGTACTAGACTAAGTGGACTTAAACCTATCTAGTAGTTAGTTACTTTGGATAGTTGGTGGTGAGTCTAGCTATGTTCTACTCCGTAAGCTTGTAGGGAGGGGGTGCGAAGTGTAAGCTTCTTTGTCTAATTTCCCTCTCTTGCCTCTGTCTCTGTCTCCCCTTCGCCCTTCCCTTTCCCTTTTTTATCTTTTATTTTTTTTCTTTCCCACGCACCGACGGCAGCTAATAACGGGTGATTGTCGGCCATCCTGGTGATGTGGATTTTCCCGAGCCTTTTTTCGTTTCTTACTTTTATGTTTCGTTGCTCATCATTATCCCGCAGGTAGTGGAAATTGCATTTTTCGCTTCTGAAATTGGAGGCACGTACGTACATAGACGCCTTGTTAGATCCTCTATCTCAGATGAAACTTATATATATTACGGGCTAGCTAGCGACTTAGCTAGTTGTATCAGTAGTCAGAGGATACTACATCTAGACCAGATATTATTTACTTGACCACAAAGTAGTTCGTAGTTATAGTACTTACTGACTCCCAAATACATACATACATACAGCAATGTGTACTCCGTACCTGACATGGCACACGGCATAGCATGGCATGGCATATCCGAGCACACGAAACAAAGCAAATCAGCCTTTTTTTACCCTTACTTTCCCTTATCCTTTTCTCAAAAAACTCAATCTGGCGCAGCGGAAACCTTAACTCGGGTGACTCGGGACGACATGCGCTTTTTTTTTCTTCTGTTGTTGCTGCCAAATGAAACAATGAAGCAGAAGCGTTGGGAACGGTTCTTCTTGCTTGCTTACTTTAGTTTTCCCGGTGCAGGACCGGGTTGTTACTTACTGTAGATATTGATTTGTTACCAAGGTATATACTGTGATGGTGAAGTTAGTCCGGTGTCTGTAGTTATATGGGGTCCTCTAATTCGAGATAGTAAGACTTGTCTTACTGATTAATGGTGGCAGAAGCAGCCCTACGTACCCCATTACACATCACATGCTGAATCTAGATAGATCATGTATATGTGTGGTAGTATAGTATAGTATAGTATAGAAACAGAAATCGTAATAGTAGAACCAGTCTATTATCGTACCCATGCATATAGGATAGAGCCTTACGGTGGAGGTCAACTAAGTAAACCATGTAATCACCCCATCCCAATATAACCCACCAACCTATGAAATTATGTCCTGAGCCAACATGTCTCTCCCTCATATATTAGCCAAATCCAACGAGATGCTTTGTTATTAAACCATTCACTATAGAGTGAGGCATATTATCACCCATATACTACTCTACCCCCTCATCACCCCACAAGGCAGACAAAGAGCCCATTTACCTACCTTCCTATTTGTCTCTAGGGGACTAATCGCATCACACTGGCAGTGGCAGATACTCCTATCTGTCTACATACACACTCACCTCTCCTCTTCTACCCATCCAAGCAAACAAACAAACCACCAACCCTTCCTCGTTTTCATCCTTTTTTTTTCTTTCTTTCCCTTACCCGTCCTCCCAAGCCGGCTGGAAAAGACACAAACTCAATCACTCAGACCTGTTACTTGATTTTATTGCCCTGTCCGGAATATTACCCTTCTCCGATCATGGGACATTCCCTCCTGAGAAAGAAATAGAACAAAAACTGGTTGAGACTGACAGGCTACTAAGCTGACCAGATCTGTTTGTTTGGTGTGGTTGGGGAAGAGAAGAGGTGAGGCGCCGCCCGCTTGCCTGCCTTTTTTTCTTGCTTGCCTGCTTGCTTGATTGATTGTTTGCTTGGTTGCCTTGGGAGGGCTTTGTTCGGCGAAAGGAATACTGAGGACGCCACTGAAGTCATATTATATGGTTAGTATTATCTATTATTGAGATACGTATACACTTGCTTTCTCTACTTATCTTTGTGGGATATTGAAATGGTGGGAGTGACTTTTGGCTGATTGAGTTTCTCCCGTCTGTCTGTCTGGGTTATGTATCTATCTATCCATCTGTGATGCGTGGATGGATGTGCATGCATTATTTGCATGAATGGTGTATGGACATATGATAGATAGGTTGACAGGTACTTAGGAAGATTGTTTACTATTATTCCTCCCCTCATTCGTCCTATTTTATCCGAGTCCTGCAATCCCTTTTCCCAATCAACGATCAGGTGGCAATGACATGACGATATACTCTACATTGACCATCCATAACTACTACTATACTATATTCCAAGAACTCAAAATCAAACCATACAAGCAGTCAGAAGCCGACGAAAGAAATATGCCATGACATCTACTTACATCAAACTGACAAGTATCCCATCATCCCTCCCGACCACAATATCCTTCTAGTGGACTAGAATTCTTTACTACAAAACTGTATCTTCCCAACACTAAATATCAGTCAACACTAAATATCAGCACACACGCTCAAAAGCCGGTTCCTCCTTAATCCTCCAAAAGTAAGTAAAATAGTGAAGTTTACTAATGACTATCAAGTTTCCAACCAACCCGAACTAAAAACCCACCCCCACACACGCAGATTCGTCATGCTTCATTTCCACATATTCCTATTTATTGGTTCTCAAGTTCACATGCGCATCGGAAACAAGCAGATAGACGTAAACGCAGAGCCAGAACGCCAGGACCAGAACCATTGGGAGAGAGTCGTGGTATTCCGGATTGAAGAGAGTTTAGTTTGCCTTCAACCCTTTCCATTTCTCTGTAGTGACCTATGTTTCTATCGACCTTTACAGTAATAATATGCTTTAGATACCCAGTGGGCGCAGGGAGAACACCTGCTGTAGTAACCAGAAAAGGTGGGTGAAAAAAGCGAGAAAGG